AAGTATTCATCGCACTGTACACATTGTACAAATCATCCTCTAAAGCGCTTAAGATATAGCCTTTGCAAAGAAAATCTGCCTGCTTCCACGCCTCAACAATCATGAATTTTTTGTTGTCCGGCATGTCCGCAGCAGGCACTGGAGGTTCTTCACTAGTGAATTTCTGCATACCAAGTGTGGTAAGCCAGAAGAACACCCTTTGCTGCCATCCTTTGAAGTTGGCTTCGAAAAATTTTCTCGGTTTCTCTGCCAGTGGAACAGTAGTCCGGCTTGACGAGGCTATCGTCGTTGCGGCAATAGTCGCAAAAGAATTTCTGTTATCAATTGTCATTTCTCACTGTAAACAACAGAAGAGTTCAATTAATCGCAAAATCAGAACAGTAAACAATACTGTTATTAACAAAAATAGTATGTATAATAAATAAAACCGAAGTTCTTATATACTGTTTCACAGAAAAACGATGAAGTTTTTATGTTCTTCAAATCGTTTTATGAATTTCAATACACTAATGAAGTTTTTTATATCTTCAAATCAGATAGTAAAATTCAGAAGGAGTAAAAAATCACACAAGTTTGAATCTTCACAAACAAAATACAGAATATAATAAATTAATTTCCTTAAGAATGTTATAATTCTGTATTGCTGTAATAAACAATTAAACTTTCTGAAAAAATAAAACAGAAAGTTAGTAATACTTGTTTAACGAAATAAATTCTGAAAAAAAATAGTATAGGAATAAATCGAGCCCACTGAATATACAGTGTGTCCTTAAGAAAATTATTCCCCTCAAGTACCCGAGGTGCTGGAATATATCCTCCCAGGATAGAACGATTTAACTCACCGGAGTGTTGGTACCAAAACGCCGGTGAACAGCGAGCCATTCGAAGGCTGTAAAACACACTAGATTTTTTGTGCAGAAGAAGAAGAAGAAGCAGCTCAGAAAAATTTTGTAAGGAAAGATTCTGGGATTCAAACTCTATTTATAGAGTTGCTGGCATTGTTTCTGAAAAGGTTTGCAACCTTTCAGAAACAGCCATGGCTGTTGGAACAAGGTTGTTTGAAATATTGCGGGAAAATATATTTAAAATAATCCGGGAAAGAAAACGGGCCTGACCGAACCGGGTCGCGGGTCATGGGTTATCCGAAGCCGAAGCCGAGTCGAGCGACGACGACGGCGCGAGGCTTGCCTTCTTCTTAACTCTTTAAGAGCTAGAAGAAGACCAATTATATATATACCATCAAAAGCCTTTTCTTCCTCCGATATGAGACAATGTTCCTTTGCCAAGGGAAACTCAAATATTTCATTTTCCCTCCATTTCTCATTCACCCTCTTTAAGGTACACAAACTTAAAATCCCAACAATATGCAGATTCAGACGTCTTAGTCTGAATACACATCTTTATATTCAGATATGTATTCAGATTCAGACGTGTTAATCTAAAAAAAAAAAAGAGGCATTAAGTCTCGCTTTCCGATAATTAAACAAAAAAAAAAGTACAAAATATACGATACAAAAAAGAAAAGAAGAAAAACCGCACTTTTCGTGCAGTACATAGGCCATAAGGCGCGTGGAGAAAACTTGGATGCAGCAACAGTAAGTCCCCATTTGTCAGTGAGAATATTTTTTGACACTGTTTCCAAGTTTAAATAAAAATTCAAATCAAATCAATAACCCAAACATGGAATTCAAAACACCTCGTAATCAAATCATATAACAAGACTATATATGTGCTTTGTCTGAAAATAATTTCACTACCAAAAACCCCACTCACTACCCACCCCCAAAACAAAACGACCGCCAAAACCCCACCCATAAACCTCCGTCCTCCGCCACCGTAAACCACCGTGTGCCACCACCTGATCTTACATTTTTTTTTTGACTTTTATAGAAAAATCAAGAATATTGAAAGTTAGCGTATTTTTTGATTGGTGGGGTTTTGTAAAAAGTGATAAGCAGTTAAAAGGGTGTGTTGGGTAATGGTTGAAGAAGCTAAAAGACTGAGCTTTTCTGTTTCTTGAATTTGCGAAGGCAAAGGGGACGGCGTCGTTTTTAGGCTGTGCAGTGATGATGAAGATACGCTTGAATTTTCTGCGATTCCTTTTTATGTTATTGGTGATCTTCACTCCTAATGGTACAATTTTGTGTCTTTTTTAATAAAAAAAATTGCTCTGTGTTTGGTTGTGTAGGAGACTGTAATTTTATTGGGTTTGTTGTAGTTTTTTGAATTTTTGGGTAATCGAGGTAATATTGGATTATGGATCATAGTCTTTTTTTTTGTTTGGTTTATTTGGGTGTTCTTTTTTCTCTTTTGAATCTTAGATTCTTTTTCTTTGTTGATGTTCCTTTTTGATCAATATGCTTATGTGCTTTATTGTTACTTACAACAACAACAACAACCTAGTACAATCCCACTAGTGGTATCTGGGTACCCTGGGTAGAGAGTATGTTTACAAATGACCCTCGGCATCCTTCCCTCCAAGAACTCCCCACCTTGGTGACTCGAACTCGCAACCTGGAAGTGGAGGGTGCTTACCATCAGAGCAACCCACCTTGTCTTGCTTTATTGTTACTTGTTCATGTATAATCATAAAATTTACTGATAACTAAAAATAAACAGTAACTAATAAAAATTAGATCTTGTAATTTGGGGGGGGTGGGGTGG